TAATATTGGGTCCGGTGGTCTCACCAATATACCTTAGGGTAATATTGTGAGTGGATCTTCTGGATTTTAAGGTTTGATTTCGTCATCAGTTTATATATTTAATTTATCTGATTTGAATTTTGCTTAGAATCAGAATAATAGATAATGTTAAACATCGTCCCTATTGTTCGATTGTTATCCGTGGCGGGGCGGTGGCGTTTTTCCCAAGCTTGACCCCTTCAAATACTACACTCATAACTTGGTCCTTCAGTGCTGTTCTTGAACAACAAAAACTAAGAGTGTTTCTTTAGCTTATAGCCTAATTTAAATTTTTCCTAAACAAGTATCATATTTTCTTTTGTATCGGAGAAGGCAGAAGATTATTTTTTTTTTTTGAAGGCAAACTTATTTGGTAGATACTAAAAAAGGAGAATAGGGAAAGGAAAGAAGCGAAAACAAGAAATATGCCTGCCACTCGCAAACACCTTCATATTTCGAAACCACGTCGTCGTCAGAGGTCTGTGAGTCTCACAACTCGGGCCTCACGTTGCGGTGTAAAGAATTATGTCAACGTACTTAAGAGTGCTCACCCCACCGTCGAGTTGTTTTTCCCTGTGACCAAGCAATACTTGCAAGAATACATTGACGCAAAGAAGAAGCAAGGGACAATCAAGGCAAATTCCCTCGACCAATATTTCCAACATATCGAGAGTTATAACATGGCCCTCGGACATGGGTGGGACTCGCAGGAGTTCGAGCCCATGATGCGTGAGGTCTTGGAGGCTTTGGTTCAGAATGAGGAGAAATGCGGTCTCTCACGTAAACAGTCGTTAACTCCCGAGGAGGAAGAGGATGAATTGAGTCACGAAAACTCGAATGGTATTGTGTACATCATTAATTATTATCAATGGAGAGGGTCCACTTGGGAAATTGAAGTTGATTTCCAAGATTCGATGCAATCTTCGATTCTATTATTCATCTTATTCATCATCTGATCCTTTCTCTTTTTAGATCCATCTGTACCCACGATCTCTCTTGTTTGCTTTGACATGGCTCATGTCCCTGCGATGAAGCTCGAGCGACAAATTCGAGTTCCCACCTCAAACGTTGACCCAAACGCGGAGCCTGGTATTGCGCTTCAACAATTGTATCAAAACATCGCTAGTCTAAAACTTCCAAAGAGATGGGGCAAAATAGATTCTACCACCATCTACTTTCGCAATGGTACATGGAAGGATGCCCCTCATTTTATGTTAGATGATAATACCTTCAAATGTTTCTGGGAAAATTACACCAACAGACGGGAAGGAGAGGAGGTACAACTAATTGTCTACTCAAAACAACGAAGCGTCACACCGGGTAAAATATCATGAACCATGAAGAGATCGGTCTTTATTTGTTTATTACTGG